AATGTTTCATAAAATCGACGAAAGGTCCTCTCCAAGGCAAGGCCCAACGAGTTCTCAGGAGTATCTACGAACTTTTGGGGAGAGAAGAGATTGCAAACAATTACGAAAATACAGTATTGATTTTCTTATCATGAAAATCAGAAAACAAAAACCGCTTAGACGCTGAAAACGTTTTTCATTGACATAATCTCTCATTTCTTAGCTAAAAAACTGAACCAAATCAAGCTGGGGAAAGCAAAGATGTTTGAAGCATGTAAAGGGCTTTTGGAATACTAGTCGGTATTGAAAAAAGTACGAAAAGAAGCTTACAGAACATTCATGGAGAATTATTTGTCAATACGAAGCTATCTACATATGTGAAGTCCCTTTGAACAGAGTTTGAAAATACGCTTCTTGCCGTTTCTTGTTGTTGCCTACTCACAGTGAAGGGTACTTGAAATTCGTGTACTCATCAATGCAGTGTTTTTTTCCAACAAAAGCAAAGGCAGAAAGTTATGAATGCTGCACATAATTGAGTATTTGCATTGTTCCATATCTGAAGTGCATCAATTCGACTGCAATACAAAGTTGAAATGCCTTTTGCGTTGAGTATTGATTTCTGTTACAAAATGTTTTACTGCTACAATCACAATTTTATTTTAACAGTGCAGGAACACGCGATAACTTCTTTGGTTAGTACTCAAGCCGGCATCCATTCTAGCTCAAATTTCCGCTGCCTGTTCCATGATTTTGTAACTTGCAATACTTCCAATTACCTAGTTTACTTGTTTTACGACTCTTATACTTCTGTAGTAGTAATGACAGTTCCCATTCGTGACTCCTGACAAGACATTGATGATCAAAAAAAGGGCTGTTATACATTTGAACAACTTAATTTTTTAGTAAACAAACAATTCAACACTGCTTAAAGCAAGTTTCCACGAATTTACGGTTGGGAATCATGAATGTTCATTTGGAAATTTATTAAAGGAGGCGGAATTGTTACCTTTTCTGTTACGCAACAGATTGCTTCTATACCAGCATGGTTCGTCTTGCAT